CCCTATTTTTTTCTTTTCAAATTACTAATATTATTTCCCAGCATGTGTATCAACATTGCACTACATAATTTTGTATAGTATGTATTTAGATAATTGCTGAGATTAAACCAGTAGGGGGAGCACAAGTGCATTTTATAGCTCCTGTATAAAATTTTGTCATTTTTTAATTTCTAAGCAGAAATATAAATACAAATTTTATATTAAAAATTAATTGGAGATGGTAATATCATGTTATACATTTTAATTAAAGTAAGTGTTTTACCTAAACTAACCAACCTTTTTAATTACCTTATTCATTTATATAAATATATTGCTACAGTTTTGAACAGGGGCGGGCAATTATTTTGGGCAAAGGGCCGCTTACTAAGTTTCGGAAAGCCATCAAGGGCTGCATGACAGGCAGCTCAGGGCAGATTAATATTAATTTTCTAAAATTTTTAGCAGCCCTGCGGGCCGGATAGAATGGCCTGACGGGCCGCATCTGACCCCCGGGCTGCATTTTGCCCACCCCTGGTCTTGAATGTTATTGTGCAATGAGAATAAAGACATGTTTCTGGTCTCAAGGAGCACACCGTCTGAGTTGGATAAGGCATGATGCAAGAGAACACATCAGGAAAGAAGGAATTTTACACAAAACAGGATGATTCAGTCGTTTTGTTTTCATGCAGTATGTACTGTGCCTACTCCTATTTAATGGCTATTTTATGAGTTTGGCACAGGAGTGGGGTGGCCATAGCTGAGGAAGTCATAGGACAAAAAAGCTGGAAAGCAGTTGTGGTATAAAGAGATGGCAGGGAAATCAAAAATGCACAGGGGCAGCATGCGGCCCTGTGAATCCCAGCAGGCAGAGGCGGCACAAGGCCCTGCAGCACAATCCCTGCAAGTAGAGACCTGGAACTGGAACAGCAGAGCAGCTGCCTGCCCCTCCCCACCACTGCCTAGTACTCAAATCCAAGATGAGGGGCTTCTTCTGCATATTGAATGGGGGAAAAACCTCATCTCAGCTTTGAGCAAATATGGTAATTGAGAGATTAGGTATTATGCTAAACTTCTTTGACAGAAGTACCAATTTCATTTCAAAGGACCATAAGAACTTTAAAATTAATTTTATCAGTATTTTAATACAGCAATATTGTTAATAAGAAACTGAAAACTACAGATATGCAATAAATATGATGAAGATATGCTTCAGTATCAAGCATTGCAAGAACTCCTTTTTTCATCAACTTTCATGGATTTTTTGATGGCAATGGACTTCTTCCTTCCTGTTTAGCAGGCTTCTCCTTTTTCAACTGTAAGACAGACAGACAGACACTTATAATAGTACTCCAATCACATTTTTGCATCTTTGCAGGGCTGAGTAAAATATCTAGAATTCCTATAACCACCTCACTAATAGCATTATTACTAAGCCTCATCCTTTTCCTTCAAAATCTTGGTAAAGGCCTTGCGACTTAGTAGTAATACCATTTTTCTAAACTGATATTACATTTGCTAAATCTGTAGTACAGTCCTTGAAAAATACTTTTAAAGGTAAAGGTTCAGAGTTTGAAAAAGCTCAGACAGTTCTAAAAGAAATAAAGATAACATCTCTTGCAAAGAACAAGCGCAACAGCGGTATAAAGTTTTCTAAAACTGGTTAGTTAAATCCCATTGCTTTTACAGAAGAACAAGTAAACAGTTACAGCATGCTTCCAGCTGAGATGATAGAGTTAAGTAATACTCTGCATTTAACCAAAAACTGTACAAAAACTGCAATAGCTTTTAATAAGTAAAAAGGTATGAGGTTTTAGGAGACCACCCATTAGAGAAGGGAACTTTATTTTTTGCAGACTGTTATTCTTTATTGCCTAGAATGGAAAGAACTTTTTATTTCAGAATTTGTTTGTCCTTTGTGGCATGGTAATATTTCCTTACCTTCCTCTAAGATAGAAAAGTTATAAATTATAGCTGCTGTAAGAAGAGAAAGATCATTGAACCATTCCAGATGCAAATGGTCTATAATCTTCAGCACTGCTAAGTAACCTTGTCACAACCCTCATTTTGATAAGGGAGTATTTTTTCAGGAACAGAACAGTAGAAATTATAGTAGTGCATCCCACTGCATGCAATTTCAGTTTTATTTTTATCATCTTTAATTAGTCCCCTTTAATTAATTCTCTTTCCTTTTGAGGGAATATGTTTGCATTAAGCTGCACTGCAAAAATCCAGTGATTTACCCGTTCCTGGTACCGCTTTTCAAAATAAGCCATGTCGTCTTGTTTAGAATTTCTGACATGGGATACCTGCATTGCATCAATAGAACTACCTGAAAAAAACCAAAAATATATACATTTATCTAATACTTATCATTCTACTAATTTCAGTCTGTATCACATTTGGAAAAGGTATTAAAATTATTTTTTTTCCACAGAACAAAGGTAAAAGATTCCTATGTTACTTAAGGCAATTTCTTTAAATAAGCAGTGCTGTTAATTGGTTCTAAAGTGGAACAACTAGTACATAGTATAAGGGTGTGAGAAGAGCTAGATTGTTACTACCATCCTACTATGACACAAAATATGGCTTGTAAAACTTCCCTACTAATTCCATACAATAATTTACTCTCAGGGAAGAAAAAAAATCATAATATTATGCTAAATATATACATATGTTCTGTATGTTCATAGATGTTGAACTTTTACTAAGAAACAAAATTGGAAAGCCCATGGTCTCAGTAATGGATAAAAGATATCATTACTAAGAAAGAAAACAGTTGCATCAGGCAAATCATCAAAGACAAAGAAAAATGGTTTTGTATTAAAGTAAAAGGAGAAAGATTCTTTAAAATAATAAACCATTTAAAAATGTCTTAAGTTATTCTGAAGCATCTTGCATACAAAAAGTTTTTCTATTAATGATATAAATGTTTTGAGAGGAATTAATGTTCTGCACTCCCTTCAGTTTTGAATTCTGAAGTATAACTTTGAAGCTGAATTCATAAATCAACTTTATACAATATACTCAGTATAATATAATATATTAGTAATATACCAGATATTAAAAAAGATATGTTCATAACAATTCATGACTACCTGGTAACTGTGAGCTGACGTGCGCAGAACTGGATGGTCCTTGGAATGCTTTTAGAAATGGATGGTCCATGTTGGTAACAGGAGACTCTAGGAATTCAACTGATGGTGCTCCTTTTAGAAAATGTATTGGAGGGGGAAAAAAAGTACCAGCTTCACTAGAAGTGTTAAGAGTAGTAGTTCTGGATTTCTCTTTTGACCAGATATTTACTAGGCTAGATACCAAAATTACTGATTTAAGTTTTATGGCCTGTTTCCTGTAGAGGTTGGAATAGATCAGGGGGTATCAACCAGGGGTACACATACCCCCAAGGGTATTAGAAAGGTTGTAGGGGGTGTGCGCAGGAAGGCAGGGATGGATGCGGCAGCAGTGTCTCCCCCGGTGCATTTACCTCTTACCTGGGGGAGAGGAGAGGGATGCGCCGGGCACTGCTGGCCCCGCGCAGCACACCGCAGCCCCTCCCCACCCCAGCTCACTCTCCTGATTGGCTGCTACCCTCTTACAGCAGAGCTGCAAGGGTCTAAATGGCAAGGTGGGGGGAGTGTGTTTTGTGGCCACCCCCAGCGGCGCACAGTTGGCTGGGCATGCGACCCATCAGTAGCCACGGAGTTGTTATCAGCCATGGAAAAGCGGCACAGTGGCAGTGGTGGTGGCCGCTGCATCCAAGCCCTCACTCCATTCAGCCTCCCCTCCCAGCGCTGCCACTACATACACACTCAGGAGGGCATGGAGGGCACATGCCCCCGGATCAGAACGTGGGCTGAGCTGTGGGCTGCTGCAGGCTGGGGCAGCACCGGGCTGTTCCTGGCAGGAGTGTTGGGCCAAGCTGTGCTGGGAGGGGGTTGGGGAGGTTACAGCGAATTTGTGGGGGGTTGCAGCCCTCCTGTAGCCCCGCTCCCAGTGCCACCGCCATCTGCCCCAAGCTCAGCTCAGCCCAGCACCCTCCGGAAAGAGCCCGGTGCAGCACCGACCCAAGCCTGCAGCCGCAGCCTGCCTCACACAGATCCGGGGGGCACACACCCCCCCATTCCGTCCCAGGGTGGCGCATAGCAGTGGAAGCCGCTGCCCCCCCACAATCCCACATCCTGCTCCGGCTGTGCAGTGCCTGTCCCAGCCCCAGCCCCACTCCCTCACTTTGTGACTGGGCTGGGGCTGGGGGCAGACCAAGACCCCCACAGTGGAGGAGGGAGTGGGGCAGAGGCAAATTATTCACCCCTGCCCCTGCCCTACTCCCTTCTGAACTGTGGGTATTGTCCCACAACCCGGCCCAGCTGGAGCCCCATTCACTGTGAATGAGGCCGCAGCTGAGCCATGTCGTGGGACAATTGGAGCCCGGCAGCTCGTCCAGGAGCACAGGGGGGGGTCCCCGCTGCTGCATGCACGGCAGGGGAGCCAGGGAGGGTGGCATATGCTCCTTGGCTCCCCTGTGCTATGTCCCTGGACAAGCCGCCATCACAGTGAATGGGGCCCCAGCCAGGCTGGGTCATGGGACAATCCCCACAGTGCAGGAGGGAGTGGGGCAGGGGTGAATGATTCACCCCTGCCCCTGTCCTGCTCCCTTCTGTACTGTTGGGGTCTCAATCCCCAGCCCCACTCCTGTCCTTACCACAATGTGGGGGTGGGGAGCAGATTGAGACCTCACAGTGGGGGAAAGAGCGAGGTAGGAGCAAGGGCTGAGGTGAGTTGGGCCTGGCCAGGCTGGGTGGTGAGACAAGTGGAGGCCTGGGGGGGCACCCCTGAGCCTCTGCTTATCCCACCACCCAGCCCAGCCAGGGCCCCACTCACCCCAGCCCCTGCTCCTGCCTGTGCCCCACTCCTTCCCTCACTGTGGGGTCCTCAATCTTCCCCACCATGGCCCTTTTCCTTCCTCCCACCCCTTTCCCCACAGACTCACCTGCTGGGGGGTGCATGCGCTCAGCCCCCCCAAATAATTTTTTCTCCTTCCACCTCTGCAGCACCTGTCCCTGCTCTATCCCCAGCCCCACTCCCACCCTCACTGGAGGGGCCTCAATCTGCCCGCACCCCTTAACAACAAGAAAATAAATATAAAGGGGTACATGAGCTGAAATGTTGAGACTGAAGGGGTATGCTTATTAAAAAAGGTTGAAAACCCCTGGAGTAGGTAATGAAAACAATCTCTTCTCTGGAAGTAGTTCACCTTTTGCGGACCTGTGCAAATGTTCAGTATCAACAACAGTCATAAAAAATGATCCCTCCTAGTCAGTTCCATGGCTACTAATGCAATGGGACCCCTGACCAATATAGGGTCTGATGGAACTGCATAATGTGCACTGCCCTAATACCACCCCTGTCACTTCTGGCTTTAAAATCTATTAAAAAGTAAATGGCTTTGGAGTCTGACTTATGGGAAAAGCCCAGTTTGCCTTTAAACTGGTAATATTTTAGACACTTCCTTATTTAAAAAATAAATAGACAAAGAATCTGAATTGAATTTCAAATCTCTTGCACTTACCTATTCCACTATCATCAAGTCTCATGTATCCTTCTGCTAGCGAACTGAAGCCAGTCAGTCCTCCCATTGCAGCATAAGGCACATCCTGCCCCACAGGCTTTCCCAAGGCTGAGCGCTCTTGTTTAGTTTCCACTACTGTTTCATGAGTATATGTTGGCTGACCACAGCCACAGGTAAAGGAACTGTGAAAACCTGAGCATTTGGAACCTAATTTGAAAAATAAATAGCATTAAGACAGATGATGATGGAACTGATTTAATCATGATCATCAGATACCTAATAGCATCTCCCTGACTGATAGGGCAAGATTTCTCAATTTCCTTCCATGCATAAATACATGACACACTTCCCCTATGTAAGCTTATTGCCCACAAACTTGACTGGAAAATCATCTATCATTGGACAGCTAAGTTTTCTGCAGCCTCTTTTCATCATCTATGGAAAAGCCTTACATTATGGAAAGGATAAACAAGACAAAGGATGAACATGTGGTTGAATCATGGAAATCACTAGATCTATGTTCTATCCCTGCAGTTGGTCCCAAAAATAATAGATTTGGCCAAGCATGGTGTTTTCAAGATTGAACAAATTGACATCAGCAAGCTGGAGGCAACTTTAGGTAACAATCTATGTTGTAATAAAAATCTACTGCTGTATTATCTGTCCCAGCTAAAGATGCTGCAATAGTTATTACTATTTTTCTTTCAATCAGTCAGCTCTAATTGTTCTCTAGAGTGGGCACAGAATCAAACAGAAACTGCACCACACACTCCAATGTCTTGGCTGGACCATAGCCAGCAGATAAAACATGTACCTAAAATCAAGAATACAGCTTAGTCCAGCTGATTGCTCACAGATCTGAGACTGTAGCAACCTGAGTTTATTTCCTAGGTCTGTCATATATTTATTGTGCAAACGTGTGAAAGCAACTTACCTTCCCTATCCTTCTAGGGTTTTCCTTCTACAAAACATAGACCTGCTAATCTGCTTTGTGACTCAGAGGAAAACGAAGATCCTCCAAAGCAGAAAATTTCAAAATATGACTCCATACAAGTATCATGAAACTAAGATGTTCGAACCATGAAGATGAGCAATCATTCTTCACTTCATTTCAGTCCATTCCAATATTTTATCTATTGAGTTTTTGGATACAATATTCTCTAGGCAGGAGCTTTGACTTTATCCACATGTGCAAAGTACCTATCACTGAAGGACACTACAACATTTTCTTCCAAAGAAGTGATTAGCCATGTTAGTCTGAAGTCAGGTAGAAGGTAGGCCAGGGTGGCACTTTAGGCCCATGATTAACATGTTAATCATGACAAATTGTAATATGCTACACGTTAAATCAATTTATCATGCAATAAAAGCAGCAATCAACCACCAGGATGTTCCACATTAAATGTGGAAAATCTATGTGGCTGGTTTGCTTCAATCTATGTGGCTAGTTTGCTTCACACTAAAAGTGAACATGTGACATGTTAATTTTAAAGACACCTATTTAAATTTCCCAGCACATGAACAGCCTGGCAACAGTGAGCCAGAGAACTCTAATATCAGGCTTACCCCATGCCAGCATGTTTTTAAAAGGTCCAAGAAACAGGGAGCCCAGGATTGGGAAGCATCCCACACCCTAGCATGCAGGATGCAAGCATGCCTTTTAAACATGCTAGGACACAGGGAATTCAGGATTGCCAATTATACATGGAACATCTTTATGCTTCTTGATCCCAAGCTCCCTGCATGTTTAAAAGGCAAATGGGCATCTAGCTTCATGCAACCCTTTTAAAAGCCCAGGGGAGGAAGAAGATTGGGATTGGGGAGCTCCCTACACATTGCTAGGTTGAAAAGTCACGCATCAGCCCAATATCAAGGGGTCGCTCTTTGGTGCCAGGATCCTGAAGACCCAAAGAAATCCAGACCCAGATCTGAGGAATGTTACCCTGGATTCCAAAAATCATGCATTCTGCCATGCCAAATGTTGAATGTCTGGAATGTCAGGACAAAATTCTTCAGCTCCCATTGCATGACTAAATTAACACCTGCAAGGGCCTAAGAGACTAAATGGTTCAGAAAGGTTTGAGCTTTTGTAGACAGCAAAGGTTTTAATCTACTTTATCAGATGCAGATTATGTCCTTTCATAGTGTCTGATGAATCAGGTTGTTGTCTACAAAAGCTAATGTCTCTCTGAACCAGTTAGTCTCTTAGGTGCAACCCTGCTCTATTTTCTGCCTGACTTTGCCAAAGGAGCACTGTGGATCACTAAAGTAGACAAGCAAGCTACCAAACTTTTGGCATGTGTGAAATCTTCACACAGCAAATCTCAATGCCAATATTTTGGTCCACTTGAGCCTATATAACTCCCACTCCCAGTCAATGCAAGAGGGGAACTGTAGGGATAATAAAATAAAGATCTACTGTCTCAGTCTGAGATCAACAATACACTTGGAGACCCAAATCATTCCATGAAATGAAACCATCTGACAGTTCTTAAAATATATGTCAATATTATATGTGTATAACATGGTACAATATATAATACTGATACTTTATTTAATCTATGTTCACAGAATACACAAGGAGACCTTTAATGAAAAGAACTTTCCAAAACAAAGTGATGAAGACCTGGACCTAGACCTCCCAAGGACAGTGGTTCTCAAATGTTCATCTAAGACTCTTCAGATTTCCTCGTGCTCTGCAAAATGGACTGCAGCTCAGAGTAGAAGACAGGCTATGAAATAACTTCAGCCCATGAATCCTACAAATATATATTACATAAATTTTACACAGTATTTTGAGAAAAAGCATAAGGACAGGCCATGCTATTTATTCTATATTAATCTATTAGATATTATTTTGGCTTCTGCTAGAAACAATGCTTTACAATTTGTATCCTGCATAGAATACTGCATATATTTCAGGCAAATAATTTAACCATCTAGAAATCCAACTACAGATCTCCAGCACTACATAGAATCATAGAAGTAGGGTCGGAAGGGACCTTGTAGATCTTCAAGTCCGACCCCCTGCCTGGGCAGGAGGGAAACTGGGCTCAAGTGACCCCAGCCAGGTAGGCATCGAGCCGCTTCTTAAAGACCCCCA